AAAATATATTGGAACATCTTAAAATTACCAGCCCTACCAGTGGAAACAAAATGATGGCAATTAAAGGTAATAAAGGTTATTAAAAGTTAGGGCCTTGGAGGCTAAGAAGTCATGTTAGACTGTCAATTGTTTTCCCATGGTGGGAAATCAGTTAGAAATTAAAAAAAAAAAATCTAGTAGTTTAGTTGTGGTCAAAGAAAGAAGTCAGTGGGGATGGGAAGGTTTCAGCAACATGCTGGTAAAAAAAGAGAGACTTACATAGTCTGGGAGGGCAGTGAAATGGAAGGCGTGGTAACCTCGCTCACTTAGTTGTCATTTTTGATTTTCAATGACATTTTTTTCATTCGTTCGCCTAGTAAAGATGACAGAAGGTCCTAATTTATTATCTGACGTCTATTCCTGTTCCTAAATTTAAGAGCGTTTAACTGTATACAGTCATATAATCCAAATACAGACACTTTGAAGAAAAAAAAAAAAACCTAAAGCATTGAGGTGGCATGCATTCGATTACACTTGTAACCGCAACCGTGAACCAAAGAGGTAAGAACTCGTAGGGGTCGGGGGTGGGGATCAGCGGACACAGCCCAAGTGACCGTGGATTTGCGAGTTCCTCAGGTTAAAGCAGTAGAACGGAGGGGATCGTCACAAAGAGCTAAGCTTCCTAAAACGGTAAGAGCCATGGATTCTAGAAGAATGCACAATTAAAGTTCTCCGCATGGCTGGTTTGGTCCGCATACCATCTATGCGCAAACAGAACTGTTCGAACTATCCGTGACATACCAGCCGAGATCGTCTCTACATCAGATGCCTTTTCCTGCTCGGGTTAGGCTGCATTTGAGATGACCGGGGAAGTTTGCATGGACACTTTTTTATAAACATGACCTGGCAGATCATGTGGGCTTGACAGAAGGGAAGACAAGTGTAGTGTAAATTTCTACGTGTGTATGTAAATCGTACCGTGGCCAGATCAGATTAGGCAATGCCAGGGGGCCCCCCGACATTTCCTCTCACTTCCCCTTTCTGGGTGCACATCAACACATGTCGGGCTGGCAAGGGGAAGGTGCTCGGGAAGTTTTTGTAAATAAATAAACAAAGAGATTTGCATAAATGAAGCTCTGTGAAGAAAACCACCCAAACGGCAAAAAGCCCTTGCTTCGATAGCTGATTTGTGCATTTTAAGGCGCATGAAGGGGGTATGAAAAAGCACAGAAAAGAAAAAAAAAAATAGAGAAGACTTTTCATAAGGAAGGCATCAAAGGAGAAGGAAATAACACTGGAAAAAACCCCAAATAAATGATTTAATGCCAAAGTCATCTCCTAGCATTACAAATGCTGAGCAGTAGCGAAACACAGGAATTTGGGAGTTCAGTTCTCTAGTGGCAAATATCACATCTGTTCATCTGGTCTCCTACAAATACTTTTCCTATTCTCATGAACCACCTCCAGGAGAGTTTTTGGTAAGGGCATGGTGTTTCTTCCACTTGTTTTTAAAGAAACTATCTCTGGAGGAAGTTTAGAGTCAAAAGGTATATGACATTTAGCCAAAATTATTCACACAACGAACAATCCAAGTAACGGTTAGTCAGTTTCCATAGGTAGGTACTCATTGGCCTACGTTTATTTCGAAGAACGGATCTTCTGCAAAAGACTCTGAACTACACTATAAACGATCGTTATTGTTACTTAAGAAGGAGCAGGACAGGGTAATCTTAGTTCGATTAACATTGTGAAAAATTACGCTACCATTAGCCTAAAAATATCGATGAACAGCTTCCGGCTTTGGGGCTCCCTTCGCTGTGAGTTTACTCTTACTACCCCGATTGTTTATAGCGTGCTATTCTGATGAGAACACAGAAAAAGAAGCAAGGAAATTTCTGTGCACCCAGCTCATCCGCATGCAACCCCAGGGTAATCCCACTCTCAGAGGAACACACACGAGTCAGCAGAGAGCCACGTTCTCGGCTTCTCCAGGCCGACCTCCTTGCCTGAATGAGAGCCTCGCCGTGCCAGGCAACAGGAAGCCAGCAGCTGCTGCTGGAGGGAATGTCTTGCATCTGCCAGGTCCCTAACACATGCGGATTAGAATGGATTGGGTCTGCCTCGCGGCGAGGCCCACAGCCGCCTAGCTCCGAGATCACCTGGTTCTACTCTCGGCCTGTGACGTACTACATACGGGTATGTCTGAAGAAATGTAAGGACTTGGCAGTGTCTGGTGACAGCTTGTTTGGAGGGTGTTGGCCTCTCTGAAGCGATCAGTGATGACTATCAAGTCCACGGATGACAAGACCCCAATACCGCACTGGTTGCTACTCTCAGCTGCTTGCGCTTGCCCCGAGGAGAAGGAAACGCTGAGGTTGACATTGACGTCATCAGGGCAGACGAGCACCTACTAGGCAATATGTCAAGTTAGCCTCAGGTGTCTTATTTTTTCGTGTTTTTTTTTTTTTTCCAACACATTAAATTGCTTCCAACAGGTTACGTCGCTCAACCTCAGGGCACAAAGGCCAGCCCAGGGGAGCACAGATGTTTTCGGATTTGTTTCAGGCACACCCCTCGCTCAGCATTAGGACTAAGTTGCACAGGAGAGAGAGAGGGGGCAGCCGCGGCCACACGCTCCCATTTGCAGGTGACTTCCGCCTTCTCCTAAGGAGAAGCGTGCGGCTATGCGTTCCCGCGAAGCTAGGCCTGCAAACGCTGGCTGACCTAATTTAAAATACGAGCTCTCGCTGAGCTCCCTTTGCATGAAGTTCTTCCAAGCATTAGCTATTTCTTTGTTTGCTCACTTCTCATTTCATAAAAAGTCACCCATCTTTGTCCAGGCCCGGTGACCTCCATTCTCTCCCTCCCCAAAGCACGTTTCGTCTCCTGCTAGCCTCTGCCTTAATCACTTTTATTTGTGGGACACTAGGGAGGGGATGGTAATGCTTAGAGTCGGGAAGAATATCAGTCTTTAAAAAATTATTCTTATTACGATCATGTTTAGATGAAATATGGGGCTTGCCATCAACAAAATTACAAAACAATTCCACCGGGAGTCCAGACCGTTCAGGGCAATTCATCTACGAAAAGGCGAACTTTAATTGTTACTCTTGGCAGCAGTCTAAGAGAAGAGTGGAATATGATACTAAATATTGCCACGTGCAATAGTAAAATGCTCTTTCCTCCTTGCCAGAGCACCGTACGGCCCCCTTCGGACTCAGGTTTGGATCTGGGGAGTTATTCGAAATCCTCTGTTTCCCCCTCTCCAAAACCAACAGAGGTTTTCAAAAGAGTTGCATTTTTTATTAGAACCATTCGCTCTTTTTAACTTGCCAAAAAGGGATAAGTAAAACTAAGGCTTTTATTTGGGTTAAAGTTGATTCCTCAGCTTCATGGAGGTCAATGTACTTGGTCTGTGAACCCTCTACCAAAACGTTCATCGCAGCACTGACCCCGCCAAGGTTGTATTTTGGACCCTTCTAACCCCTCCCCAAACCCACCTCCCAGCCTCGTGGATTTATATAGGAAGAGCTGGCAGGGTGTGGAGGCTAATCAAAATGAAACGTACCCCTATGGCAAAGTACGTCCTGGATTTTCTATGACAGACAGCTGACATTTCAAATATTTTTAATGCTGCACATCACAATGGCTGTTTGGGGATCGAGTGCCTTGATTTGGGCTTCAGACAACGTGATCCCAGCACGTATTTACAGCTCTTTAGATTACAAGTTCATTGAACACGGCTGCACCATATAGGTTATGAGTATGGAGAGGTCCTTGATAATACTGAAAAGCAGAGGGATATTTTTCTTTTTCTAAAAATGGAGTGAAGTCTTCGGTGAAGATGTTAACCAAAGACATATTGTATATGGCACAGGTTATCTGATACATTTACAGGTTTGGGCTAAGCATGAGACTATAATAAGCCATTTGCAAGTAGTTTTTTTAAAATTACATTTTACATTTCCAGCATGGATATATGCATACATTGGGTATAATTTCACTAAAGACATATTAAAACCATATTTAAGAAATCATAGGTAGATAATATTATTCAGCTTCTAAAATGTTTAAGTTGGGGAAGTTAGGGCCCAAAAAAGTAAACGGCTCGCCCAGGATTATTCAACATGTTACCGATGATCCGAGGACCAGAATCTCAATTTTGAACTAGACATTCCCTATGGTATGGGATGCTCTTTTTCACCCATAGGGAAAGATAAGGATACCAAGACCATTTGGGAGTAAATTTAAGTCTGCAGATATAACCAAGAGTAGTCTTTGTTGTAACTTAACTTAATGGGTTAAAACTGAGGTCATGTGAATGAAGCTTTAGGACAGCTGCTTTATGTAATTATTTTCTTTCTATTATAACATACGTTATGGATGACGACGAGCAAAATGGCTACCATGAGTAAGAGAGTTTGAGGGAACTATAATCCTCAGCCGTGAGAAAAATAGCACTTATTACATATTGTACATAAATGTATACAGACTGCGTGTTATAAAGCTTCCTAAGAACTTCTCATTTATATAAAGTGATGTCTTAGAGTTAGCTGTTGTGGCAGCTTAAAAAGAAACAAAAACAAAATGTAGAGAAAGCATGGCCTACCAACTAATAGTGAAAATAAACCAGTGAGTCTTTAAGTGGAAGCAATCCCTACAGAAGATGAGGAATTTTTAAATACATTGGTACAAATACCACTCAGATAACCAACGACAGTGATAATAAACGAATTAAAAGCCCCATAGGTCGACTATACTTGGATGGTTGTCTTTTAAGAGATTGACCTATGATGTGGGAAGCCAAGGAAATCTGCCTTCTATGTGTTGTTTGAATTGAAAAAAAAAAAAAAATGAACCTGCCTTTTCTTTACTAAAAGGGCAAGCTCCTTGTGTGTCGGCACACAATTTCAAGTTTCTTTTCAGGGATTCTATTTCCTGCTCTCCATTTAAAATGGGGGGGGGGGAGGGGCGGAAATAAAAATGTTTTGCCTGTGACAGAATATGAAAGAAGTTCTCACCCTTAAAACCCGCAGCATTGGTTTTCCAGTCATTAGCGTTCAAATGTCCTGCACGGGAAGTCCTGACAATAACATGCTGCACGTCTCTCCAGGTCAGAAACGGACTGGGGAAAGACAAGGTAAGAATCATTGTACCAAAAAAAAAAAAAAAGATGGGGGAAGCAGAGGGTCACAAGCAAATTAAAAAAGCAAATGCAGAATGGCGAAGTACTAAAAACAAAGGCTCAGTGATTCGGGGTTGGGGTGAACAAATGCGGCTCTGGGTCTCAACGTGGAGAGGTGACGTTAGTCTGAGGGAGGCAGAAAACGTAACCTTAAATTTAGGAAATACTGTGGTATTGGTCGGTTGTAACTCGGTGTTTAAAAGGGTGAGGATTTCCAGTTTTCCTCAGCAAAATGGCTCCCGGTTCGGGCCCGGCCATCCTTTGTGTAAAAGCTTGCGTCGGAACCTGAAAATTACCGTAAGCTAAAGCCAAAACTGAAGTCTTCTGGGACATTCCTTGTCCAGCTACATAGCCAGACAATCGCTTGCGTAATTTAACAAAGAACTAGCAAGGGTTAGCATTTCGCGTGTACGTACAGGATAAGGAGAAAGCCTCAAATGAACCGAGTCCCTGTCGTCCGTGTTTTCAAAGAAAGAGAATTTAGCGCGGAGCCCAAAGCTGGGCCCGAGACATAGGTATGGGAGTATCCTTAACTTGCCATGAGTGATTATCATATTAAATTGCTGGATACCTATTTCTTGCGACTGTTAGCACTGAAGGCACAGAGTCACTGAGTAGAGAAGAAGTTTCTTTCATTGGAGAACCTCGACACCACTCATAAACCTACAGAAAACCAATCCCAGTACATGTGCGCAAAGAGCATCTATCTACTGGAAAGTGTCTGACTCCACGCACGCGTGAAGTTCTGATCAAGATGCTTATTATTTCCGTCTTGACTGTCAGGTGTGCCAGTCTTTTACTTAATTGGGAAACGTGGCCATGATCAGGCAGCTTGGGTACTTATTTGTCACCTGCCACCTTCATTTTAGAAGGATACTTGCCGAGGATGGGCCAGAGCATGGAGGAGAGGGGGACAACGATCTGAGGTGTGACAGGAGCAAGTGGCAGTCCCTTTGGCCCCTCGTATGCAGCCCACGGACGCTGGCCTCTCCCAGGCAGAGGAAAAACTGGTGTCTTAATTCCAGCTAACTCCACGATGGAGGTGCACACGCGGCTTCACTTCCTACTACGTGTTCCCATCACCCTTGCCGCATACACGTTTTTGAGAGTGGCCGCCCAACAAAGGGGGCCCAGGGATCAGATCCTGGCTCTTTCATTTTCCACTTCTGTGAAATTAACTTCTCGAGGTTTCAGTGTCCACATTTAGCATGTGGACGCTAAGATCTATTCCACTTCATTATACTGGTGGAATCAAAGTGATGCCAAGTACTTATTTTGGTGCAAGATAAGCCATCAAGAGGTGGCAGACAATACATTCTGCTACGTGTTGAGCCACGGCTCTCATTTGGTGGCTTGAACATGAAGGAGATGGGGAGAAAAAGGTACTGTAGAGTCCTGACACCTTTTTGCTATGCCTTCAGATGAAACCTAAAACACATAGTACTGCCATTTCCAAAGTTTTCAGAGGGGGCAGGATTGGATGTAGACGATTTTGCAAGGTTGCGTTAACAAAATAACTACTAACGAAACGAAAACCTAACCTCATGAATTTGAAAAATATAAGAACACTGAAAAACGACTTAGTTCTGTTTTGTTTTACCCAACACTTGCTAGGGACCAATTTTAGAACCCGATAACGCATGAAACCCTGGAGGAAGGGAGGGAGTCGGTTTGAGGGGGAGCCCAGGAGGCAGGGAAGTTTCACTTCTAAAACAAATAGCACGATCTGGCCCTTTGCTGACTGATACCGAATCCACCGTAAGAATTCAGTAAACTCATTGTGCCATGGTCAAGAAAACTAGGAAAAGGGTCAAGGGATAATTCTACTTCTGAACGCGAAGGTCGACATAAGATGTTTTTCCTGATCTGCCTGATACAATGTTAATCTCCTTTCAACTTTCCCAGTGTCGTGATTTGAGTGAGGGGCAAACGCAACAACAACAAAAGCTCAGTCTGGCAAACCTTTCCAGACGCTTCTTTGTGGTTCAGCATAATCCTCTCAAATGGGCATGCTTGCTTCGCTTTTCTCCATGAGCAAACAGCAAGATATATGCAGGTGTACTCGGATTTGATAAGTATGTCTAAATCAACCTAGGGATTTTAAAATAACATTTAACACGCAGCTAAAACTTCCACACTTTACATATTACTCTTTATGGGGGGAGAAAAGAAAAGACGAGAAAAGACGAGAAAAGACAAGAAAGGAAAGGAAAGGAAAAGAAAAAGAAATGAAACCACTTTCCTATGTTACTTATCACCAGGGCAAGATTCTTTTGGAAACATCAAACACAAGGTTCTGACCATTGGGAGGCCATTTCCCTAGTGGCCCTTAGCACTAAAAATATAATAATGATGATGATGATGATGGGGATGATAAAGGCAGCATGGGGAACATTTATCTTGTGACTTAAGCGGTTGTATTCAGGCAGATTCAGGAAGCCTCCTGCATTCAATTCAGCCTGAAGAAGTAAGAGTTACTTGCTCTCACGCTGAGTTGTAAAAACTAATTCTTCTTAGAGTACTTGTAATTAGAAGGAAGGAATTAGCTTCAGGAAATTGAAACTACGCATGGAAAGAAGGAGGCGTTGAGATAATTTTACTCTGGCATTTGATAATACGCAACTTCAGAAATCATTTAATTTCAAAATGTCCTGTATTTCACCAAAGTAAAGTGAGGAAGTTAGTACGGGAAACCGATGGATTTTCCATCAGTGGCATTGCTACCCGTGGGAGGGGAACTAATTAGCTCAGGAAATAGCCATAGGTTAATTTGCTGGTATCCGGAGAAGACTTGGGTTTACAGGGACATCTGATTCGCATTTTGGGACTTATTTGTATTTATGCTCTCAGGGATGTTGCAGATGTGAAGGGATCGGCCTATGAAGCTTCTGGGATGCCACACACAGATCGAAAGAGACGGGAAGGCTGCAGGCCCTGAGCTGGGAAGGTCACAGTCCACGGCGCTGAAAGTAGGGCCCCCTGAAACTTACCCCTTCCGCCAATGACCCTGGCCCCACATTCCACTGGCTTCTGAACGTCAAGACCCCTCTCACCTCCAAGAATAGAAGATGGAGCACTAAGAACTTTGGGGCAAACGATAATCAAGAGGCCACAAGTATAACTGACCTGGAGGCAAAGAGCAGTTTCTCTCCATTCTGAGCCTGGGGACCACGGACCCCATAAAAAGCCACAAGGATTTAGGCCACACACACCCCTTAGGTTTCTTCCTGGAACAACTGGCAGTCACCTTTAAACGACAGTATGCGGTAAAAGGGCGACATTTCCAAATCCCTGCAACATGTAGCTAGCTACCTATGAGCTTTCAAGGCAATAAAATACAATTGACTTTCTGGAGACTTCTGTATATGTAATCTTTTCCTGGTAGGAAGCTTTGCATCGTTCAAGGACCTCGAATTACTAGCCAACATTAAATGAGCCCTCGGCCACGGCCAGGTACTACATGTTGAGCGTGATTGATTGATTGATTGATTGATTGATTTGAGGGAGAGGGAGAAGGAGAGGGGCAGAGGGAGATGAACAGAAGGAGAGAATATCTTAGGCAGGCTCCACGCTCAGCGTGAGATCACAACCTGCGCTGAAATCAAGAGTCGGAGGCTCAACCGACTGAGCCACCCAAGCGCCCCTGTACGTGCATTATTACTGTGGGATCTTAAACATCTTATGAATATAAGTAACATTTTTATTCCCATTTCACAGACGACAAAACTGAGACACGGAGCTACATAAAGTCACTCTAGTATATACAGGTACTTAGTGAGTGGCAGGATGACAATTCCAACCAGCTGCCCCTGGCTGGCGGTGGCTTCTATGCTGTCACATACTATTTAAAAGCACCTCCAGGTGGACCCCCAGAAGGCAGAATGAACGGACGCATGTTGGTTCGCTCGGTAGTTCTTCGACAATTGGATCAGGAAGCAACGTGTGGCATGCCATGTCCTCGTGGTCACGCTATTTTCACACCTGCACTCTCTCTCTCTCAGCTCAGTTGAATTTTGATTCTCTGGCTGAATTCTGATTACCACAGAATGCAGGAGAGTCTCGAGCCTTAATCTGGGTCTTAGGTTCCAAAGGCTTAACTTTGGCATACTCCCTCGAAGGTAAATAGAAAGATACCAAACTAGGAAATATATGATTTTTATAATAAAATACAATATTATATGCCTGTACCGGAGAGCGGAACGTGATTATATTATTTAACTTTATGGTCATGAAGTTGCCACCTTGCTTGACACGCTCACACTTTAATGTGGTTTATAGTTTGGCTATTCCAGTCCGGGAGCTGCGCCTGAACCCCAGCACGAACACTTCTCGTTTCTAGCAGCAAAAAACAGGATAATTAGTGACACTGTCACTACCTGGTATCTGTATTCTGTTTTTGTTCTGAGCAGTTCAAAGTGTTTGGTGGCCTCAACAGTAGGTTCAGAAGAAGCAGGACTGGGGCACCTGGGTGGCTCAGTCAGTTAAGTGTTCAACTATGGCTCAACTTACGAAATCATGGTTTGTGGGTTCGAGCCCCGCCTCGGGCTCTGTGCTGACAGCTCGAAGCCTGGAGCCTCTGCTTCGGATTCTGTGTCTCCCTCTCTCCCTGCCCCTCCCCTGCTTGTACTCTGTCTCTGTCTCTCAAAAAATAAATAATAAAAACAATTAAAAAAAAAAAGTAGGATGTACCCCAAGAAAGACATTTTTTTCTAGTGCCTTTTGCTGGACCCCTAAATTCTACTGCTAATACTTAAAGTAACAAATCAAAACAAGAGTTTTCTTGGCTAATTATGCACATGTGAACGTCCAACATCGATCTGTACTTGGTGGTCCTTAAAAAACAAGGACCTTGAATCTTGAGTGACTGACTGACTCACTTTCATTTATTAAAAAGAAAAAAGGGGCGCCTGGGTGGCTCAGTCGGCTAAGCGTCTGACTTC